GACAGCGTTATAATAGTGACAGTCAATAGATGATGGTGGAATGCTGCAGATTGGTCGCCCTGCCTCTGATCAGTAGTTCAAAATTAGTGACAGCGTTATAATAGTGACAGTCAATAGATGATGGTGGAATGCTGCAGATTGGTCGCCCTGCCTCTGATCAGTAGTTCAAAATTAGTGACAGTAGCAACTAGACTTAGTAACTTTGCCGTAACTACAAAATACAGTAGAAGACAATAAAGTATTTACTTCTGTATATACTGCACATTTTTGTACGCACGAAACCCATTATTTCAACCACATTCGACTTTACAAAGTTCTCCAACCATGAGTTATTATTTTACAAGGAATCGTGATAAAGCACAAATGAGTTAAATATTAAAATAGTAATCGCTTTTTTTTTAAGCACTGTCAGGGAAATTTTGGAATGCAAGATACTGAGTAAGGTAATTAATTTAATCTTGTTCTTAGTTATCTTTATTTTTAATTTCAACACGATAGACAATAAGCAAACGAATTGAAATGTAAATAACTCATTTTTATTCGACAAAATCATCGTTACTAAAAAATGGATATTTTCGTATAACAGCATTGTAATTTTATTACAATATATTTCACTTTTACAGACAAAGATACTCGCCATCTGGTGATAAAACATCATATTAATTTGTCTGAAATTTCGTTAAAAATTTATAAATTCATAATGACAAATAATCAACTTAAACTACACAGTTTTTTTGTATCCACAGTAATTTGGTTTCTTCTCGTGAAACACGCGATACCGTTACTGAACGTTAAAATACACAACTAAGGAACTTCCGGTTGACCGTTGTCCAGATCTTCGTGTATGACCTGTACACACAGCGCCAAACCATGTTTGTTTGTAATTATGCACAAAGCTACACAATGGGCTATCTGTGCTCTGCCCACCACGGGTATCGAAACCCGGTTTCTAGCGTTGTAAGTCCGCATATATACCGCTGTGCCACTGGGGGGCCGGCTATTACTAAACTCGTCTTCTGAAAGAAAGAAACGCTTTCGTGCACTGTATCGAATATGGTTATAAATATAATTCAATAGCTATAGAAACCGTCTGCACTTTTCTTCTCCCAATGTCCCAAGCAATACCGAGGGAATAGTGAGTTGAAGAATAGTTTTTTATTTTTGTTGCTGTTTTTTTTTAGCGAAAAGCAACATAATAGATTTTCTTCGCTCTGAACTCTATGGTAATCAAAACCCGTGTTTTAGCAATGTAGGTCTGTAAACTTACCGCAAGACTTAAAGAATAATTATTCGTCAACGCCACTCACGGAATCTTTCTTTTCTTCTCTGCTGCGATTACACACTTTAGTGGGGAGAAGAAAAATTAGCAATTAATATTTCATCCTGTTTTCTAATACAGGA